TTTGGAACCATTTTGGAGATGTTGACACATTTTGACAATTTTGGAGATGTTGACCCTTTTGATCATTTTTGGCAGATGTTGACACTTTTGACCATTTTTGGGAGATGTTGGCACATTTTGACAATTTTTGGAGATGTTGACACATTTTGACCATTTTTGGAGATGTTGACACATTTTGACCATTTTTGGAGATGTTGACACATTTTGACCATTTTTGGAGATGTTGACACATTTTGACCATTTTTGGAGATGTTGACACATTTTGACCATTTTTGGAGATGTTGACACATTTTGACCATTTTTGGAGATGTTGACACATTTTGACCATTTTTGGAGATGTTGACACATTTTGACCATTTTTGGAGATGTTGACACATTTTGACCATTTTTGGAGATGTTGACACATTTTGACCATTTTTGGAGATGTTGACACATTTTGATCATTTTTGGAGATGTTGACACATTTTGACATTTTTGGAGATGTTGACACATTTTGACAATTTTTGGAGATGTTGACACATTTTGATCATTTTTGGAGATGTTGACACATTTTGACCATTTTTGGAGATGTTGACACATTTTGACAATTTTTGGAGATGTTGACACATTTTGACCATTTTTGGAGATGTTGACACATTTTGACCATTTTTGGAGATGTTGACACATTTTGACCATTTTTGGAGATGTTGACACATTTTGACCATTTTTGGAGATGTTGACACATTTTGACCATTTTTGGAGATGTTGACACATTTTGACCATTTTTGGAGATGTTGACACATTTTGACCATTTTTGGAGATGTTGACACATTTTGACAATTTTTTTCAAAATGTTGACACATTTTGACCATTTTTGGAGATGCTGACACATTTTGACCATTTTTGGAGATGTTGACACATTTTGATCATTTTTGGAGATGTTGACACATTTTGACAATTTTTGGAGATGTTGACACATTTTGACAATTTTTGGAGATGTTGACGCATTTTGATCATTTTTGGAGATGTTTTGGATCCCAAACATGTGGGAAAATCGGGGATTTTGAGATGTTTTTTCAGATGGTTTCAACATGTTTCAAGCATTGGGCACTAATCAATCCATTACTGGTTGGTGGTTTGGAACATGGCTTTTATTTTCCATGTCATATATGGGATATTGGGATGTCATCCTTCCCATTGACTTTCGGTTTTTTCAGAGGGGTAGGTCAACCACCCCCAAGTATGGTATTTTTAAACCCCAATAATACCATCTTATCCAACCAGATACATTAATACCACCAACCAGATTAGGGATTTGAATCTCCCGATGTTGGGATTCCCATGGAGGGGGCGAGCGCCTGTCAGGTCTTGTCCCGGGCCTACGAATGGTCCCAGAGCCCCGAGAAGATTGAAGCGCAGTGGGCCTCCACGGAGCGGGAATTGGGATGGTACCCTGAGGTACAAAAAACATCAAAAAACTAGGGGAAACCCCCATGGTAGGTTCAAATCCCATTGAAGCCCAATAAAACACCATTTGTGTAGCTGGTCCATCCTAGATTTTCCCATCATGAATTCGCTGGTCCCGGTGCTGAAGAATTCAAACATGGCCAGGACGAGGCCTTCAAGGATCTGGTGGTGGACGCTCGGGAGAGGTTGCCACTTGGCTGCTTCAAGGGCCATTCTTTGCATATGAAGTGAGGTATTTCAGGTTCCAACTTTTTTTAAAAAATGTGAGGTATTTCAGGTATTTCAGGTATCTCGAGTTAGTTATGTCAGAGATTGATGCTATATTCCCATCTTCAACCCCGGGCTCCATTTTTACCATGTCCAAGGAAGGATGTGAAGATGCCCAGAGAGTTGGCTCTGAAGATCTCCAAGGTCTGTTCTAAGCCTGGGATCCCAGGCTTTTCATACTTTTGGAGGTGGCACTTTTTTTTGAGAGGATATGACTTACTGGTGCGTTTTACGTAGGAAATGGATGGGTTGCTGGGGGTTGCTGGGATGATGACATTACTAGTGATGAAATGGATCATTCCCGAAAATTCCCTGCGTTTAGCACCAGTAAGATGATCAGAACATGTCCAAATCCACCTTGTCACTTCCTGACTAGTTCTTTCTGAAGATGGTGAGTACACCACCTGGGAGCAGCTATTTTGCTGCATTCGTTTCTGGACATGGGGTAGAACCCATTTCAACCGGGACATCCTGATTGATATTTCTGGGAGCCATTCTGGGAGGGTGTAGTCCATTTTCAGTTCCATTTATATAGACATATTCAAGTTATCAGGACCATCCACTCTGCTCACCCTTCCAGATGATCATGGAATGGAAGATCACCACGATACAAAGTGGTTCCCCCCCGGAATTGTAGATATTATAGGTTGTTCTGTTCACCCATCCAAGTAGATACATAATGATAATACAGTATGTACTCGTATATATATATAGATATTATGAGATATCCACAATGCATTCCACTTAACCACAATAAAACATACTTCAGCATACTGTACTTAACCATGCTCAACCATACTTAACCCTACTTAGCCATACTTTAACATACTTAACCATACTTTATCTACTAAACTAAATCAATCTAAATCAGCTAACAACATGGAACACCGGGACACCACTTTGCTTAGGCTGAATGTCGATGGACTGAGAGGTGACATTGTGACCAACCGAGCCGCGCGCGGAAACCCATGGGTTACCCGTGACCGGAAAATCCCTGGGAAATCAATAGGAAACCATGGGATTTTCCCGTGTTTTCCCCATAAAATATAGGGCTTTCACTGGGTTTCACCATTGAAACCCATGGGATTTTCGCATTTTAACAGATGGGGGGGGGGTTTCCTGTCAATTTCCACACCAATCCCATGGGTGATTCGGTTGAGAAATCACATGGTTCAACGGTGTTTGCCATGTTGGGCGGTTCACCAGGGCCCACCCCATTGTCACAGATAGTTGTGGAGTGCACTTCCTAGTGAGACCTTGAAAGGATAGGCTGAAGCAACTGGTTGCCTTAAAAGAACCGACTCCATGTCTATTTTGGAAATCGGGACTGCGAATATTGTTCAAGTAATTCAGTCAGTGGATGTCAGTGGTGTTTTCCAAGCTCATTGAAGGGGTTCAATGTGCTTTAGATTTGAACTATAAATCATAACTATTAGATAGAATCATTAACACGATATATATATATATAATCACGAGAAAAATATATCTTATACTTCTTCTATGATAACTACAATTTCTAAAGGATAATGATGACTATCACAATAACTAATCATAACTAATCAGAAGTATGATAGTCCTTAGTATAATAATCATTATTGTTAGTATGATTTAGTATGATAGTCCTTATGTGATCATTAGTAATCATAACTAATAGTGATGATAACTGATCATGACAAGTATCACATCACCATTTCTATCATAGCTGTCCTCAACCAGGCGAGCGCTGGCGGCGCTGGAGCGGCGAACGGAAGTGGATGAAGAGGCGCTATCCATGGCGGCCATGGATTAGTTTAAGGGAGAATTTACACGACAACCCCAGTTGTAAAATGGGAAAATCGATGGTTTCCAGTGAAGATTTTCTCTAACAAACCAATCCATTGAACTATGGGATAATTGCTTGGTTTAATATTTTGCTTCCGATATGATGTAATATTTTCTTGAATGGGATCATATCCGAATCATATCCCCATTTTCTCAACAAAATATAGGGGCATGAAGCATGTTGAATGGGATCCAATTATGTAATCAAAAAAGATGGGGCTTCAAGCAAGCCCATTCTTTGGGCCAACAAGACATGGAGGCTCGCGAGCTTTTGAACGTCTTGGAGATGTCAAAATCGATTCCCCCCATCTGGAAATAGTGGTGGACCCATCTTCGGTGATCTCTTACGCCTTTGGAAAGATGTCAACATTCCGCAGGCACTCCACATGATTTGGATTCTTCAAATGTGGGAGGATGAAAGGAACAGATATGGACATAGAAGCCACCGGAGATAGAATGATGAAACCACATAAAACCCCACATAAAACCACATAAAACCGGAGATATAATATAGTAGCACCCCCAAAAAGATCAGAAAAAAACACAATTTCGATTACAAACATTGTGGTGATTTTGCTCTTTTTGAGGTTTTTGGATGCGACATCGGGTCATGGATACCCCAGGTGGGGGGGCCACAGGATGTGCGGCGTGTCACTGTCCTCTGCTTGCAGCATCGACTGAGAAAGGCTGGTGCGGTCTGAGTCGAGACTTGAAGATGTTGGAGAAATATCATGGAAGCATCCATGGAACTATCCATGGTAATATCAACTGGAACATGTTGAAGAGAAAACTAGAAGGAACCACCAGAAAATCGAAGGGTTTTTATCGTGATTTCATGGAGTCATGGGAATACCACGGAATATCTTGATGGCAGGTGAAGATTCGATGGGAAAACGATATCATCATTCTTGATTGATTTTGATGTTAATTTTGGGCTATACATCATTTTCGGCAACACTGGCAAACAAGATCATAGAAATGAACCTAGGGATGGCGAGAATGGGAGAACACAACGAAGTAGGAGGTATACCAGGTACACCCATGGTCTAAAACACCCGTAAAACAATAGGATAAACCATGTACATCCTGACTCTGCTTGCTTCCCAAGCCCCAAGTTCACATGTTCTCCGTTGCGGTTTTCCAATCTCATGAGGTCTACACAACCACCAGGATCTCCCCTTGAATCCCCCAAGAATTCATGGATTATCTTCAGGATGATTAGGGATTCATGGATGATTTTCAGGATTCTTCATTCATAGAATTGGATGATGGGAAAATTTTAACCGGAAAGCCCAACCAATTTGATGGTAAAAACCCATGGGTTTCCTGTAGATTTTCCCTTAAACCAATCCAATGATTCATGGATTTTTCTTCAAAAAAGTCAGTCATCTCCAGCATTGCTGAAGTGCGGCGGATTTTTTGCAGGACGTGGTCTCGGATACCTTGGACAACACCGCCCTGGTGGTCAAGGCTACGGCGGCAAAGCATGGACAGCATGAAGGGGCTCCTTACTATCTAAAAACCATAGGCAAATCATCAATAAATGGAGGTTTTAACTCATGGAAAATCAACTATAAATGGTGGAAAACGTACGTTTACATAGACGTGGAGTGGAGTTTACTCACCAGAAAGCTACAGATCATTTTGGAAGCCATATGGGTTTTCCGCATCATTTTGCATGTTTACCCTAGGGTAACCATCAACACATAGGGCTTTCATGGGATTTCACGGGTATGTGAAATAGGATCGTTTTAAATCAACAGTCTGATATTATCCAAATATCATGATAATTGTGTTTCACAATCTGAGTGATGATACTTATCAACAGTCTGATAAATCTGTGAAACAATCATTTGGGTCTGTCTGAAAATTGTGGATGAGGCCTGAACTGGCGATACTTTAGATCCCCCAATGGGATCCGATGGGGACGTGAAAATTTTGGGGATGTTCATATCTGGTATATTTTATGATATGAGTTTCATCCCCGTATGAACATATATGAACAATGATAATTATACTCAAATGATATGAATGATATTACCCTCTGGTAAATGTTTGCATAACTAGTGAAAAATCCACCATTTTTCATGGTTAAATCAACTATTTCGACTGGGCCATTTTCAATAGCTTTTTGTAAACGTTTACCAGAGGGTATAATGGGTATATGTATAATAATTGTTATAATGGGCTCATATAATGATTTGGGGATGATATTATCATATATTATCATAATGAATAATAATGGGTATAATTATGAATGATATGAATGATTTGAGTTTCACACAGGGCTCATTGGCTCATCCCCTCGAAAAATTGCATGGGATGACCAGGGGCCTTGGTGATGAAAGCCACCGGTGGTTTTCACCGCGGCACGGAGAAATAGGGGTCGGAAACAGTACGAAACATAGCATTGGTTTCTCGTTGTTCCAATTGGAATTGCGGATCTTGGATCTTGTATCCGTGTATCCAGCATTTTTGGACAACGCCACCTTTTTTTTGAGTATCCCACCCGAAAAAAGTATCAAACCATCCATGCTGTCAATGAATTTTGACCCATACCCAAGTGTTTGATCCAAACCGAAAAGCCACAGAAAAACATGGGAATTTTGATGTAAACATGTCTACGGATACCCCATTTTCGGAAGACGCCGTGGCCAGGTGCTCCTCCAGGAGTTTGGCAAAGGACCTCCGCCGGTGCGACCTGTGATGAGATTTCTGGAGCGACTGGGCAAGTTGGTCTTGGAATGCGATAATAACTTATCCTCTGGTAATTTAACCGTTTGCTATTGGGTATAACTTTGGTAATAACTATGGTAATGTAATGGGAATATCATTGGAATAGAATATATCACCAACAATATTGATACCCTCTGGATCCCTCTGGTATTATGTTTAAGGATCTTTTTTCGATGTTTCCCACTTAGTCACTTAGTCCTCAATGTCCACATTCGGAACTGTCATATATAATAAGTGATGTTTCAGGGACAAAGGGGACAAAGGACGAAGTCTTAGGCAAAGTTTGGAGACTGTGTCAAAAACCATTACCCTCTGGTTATTTAACGGTTTGCCATGGAAAGATCCACCATTTTTAATAGGTAAACCATCTATTTCGATGGGCCATTTTCCATGGCTATGTTAATTTACTGGAGGGTAAATCATATGATTAATGATGAATGGCGATGTGAATGGATTGAATGGTGTTTAAACTTGGAGTTTGGCAATTAGCGGTAGATGGACATCCATGAACGTTTTCGAAATGACTCAATTATGAAAGGCCAAGACTTTTGCCAGTATACACAATATTGGCGGTGGTAGCCAGCTATAAGTTGACAATACTTGACTTATAAAGCCATCTAACTAGAATTAACTAGACATATATCTGCAATAAAAATTCATAAACCATACTTAACCTAGTGATAAACCGACTTAGCGACACCGTTCGGGCCGTTCGGGGGGCCACCTTTTGGGGCTGCGACACGTCCACGTCCTGAGGCCAGTAGCTGCCTGAGGGTCAACATCGAGTTGGGCGGTGTTGAACGTTGGACTTGTTTGTGACCAGTTTTTACTGGGATGATCAGTTGGAGCAGGGCTTAGTCAGAACATGTGGTAATGTAGCTGCAACATAGCTAAGAAGCATGGGAATGTAACCATCAAGAATGGGGATAAACGATTAGAACAAATATACAGCACCAATGATGATCAATTGATGATTAGTGATGATTGTTGATCAAAGTTAATTTTTCATGATACATTATGTAATACAGTGTTAGTGGGTTAATGATACTGGATAAACAGTACTGCTAGTCACATGTGAATATCCCACTGGTGAGAAGCTTCGCAGATGACCTAAACAATCTAACACAGAGGGGTAAAGTTACACCACACACATTCTGACTTGTGGTGGATGAACATGAACCATATTAAATACTTAGTCGCAGATGACTGTATCAGTACTTAGTCGCAACTCATATTAAATATGCTGATCACCCCCTTGTGACCAATGAACTGCAAAGACACAGGGGCATTTCTCCTGCCTTCCAAGCAACCTGACCTGTATGACATCTCTCGCAGCCTTAAACAGTTTCTGAACACTGCAGACAGACGAGTTCGACCATGTGTCTGCTGTAGGATCTGAAGGGATATCACACATCATTTACATGTACTGTCCATAGTCCATACATACATATACATATACACATATATATATATTATGTTATATATATACACATATTCGCATATCTAAATCCATAATACTGAGTTCCATTCATCAAGATGTTCATATTCATATATATGTATATATATATATATATCTTTCAACAACACTGCCCACTTGGTGTGCGCAACGTTTGACGATGTTGTCAATTTTTTCACCCGAGCTGCGCAAGCTGTGGGCCAATTTGGTGCCCGGGATTTGCTGCGGCCTGGAAAAACGTAGCCGTGACAACCAATTTTTTGTCCCACGATACATTTTCCAAAAGGTTTTTTGGGACCCATTGTTTCGCAGTTTCGAAAACTCAAGTTGGTTAATGATGGGGTCATAAATTTCTAAAATCATCACATGGGTTTCATACATTTTCATACCACACATGAGTTCATGCAAATAAATCACTCATAGAATTGGATGATGGGAAAATTTTAACCGGAAAGCCCAACCAATTTGATGGTAAAAACCCATGGGTTTCCGGTGTAGATTTTCCCTTAAACCAACCCAATGAATCACAGAATCTCAACTAATGGCTCTGTGGCTCCGTGGCTCAGGACCTACGAGAACGTGGTTCCGTCCGAGGATCCAGGAATGGTAGCGGACGCCGCCAGGATGAGCTTTGCCAAGGAGGCGCCAACGGATGGCTGATGGCTTCTGAGGAGATTTTTGGTGTTTTGTTTTGACTATGTAAGTGGGTCACAACGATATATACCCTCCTGTTATGACATTCACAGTCGATTCGGTTGAGGGCTGCAAACCGCGGTAAAGCCAGATGCAGCAGTGAAGATGTGCCAGCTGCTACAGCGCCGTGACTGCCTCCTGAGAAGCCGCCGCTGCCGCTGCCGCCGCTGGGTGGTGGCGTTGCTGCCACAGTGCCTCAAGTAAAGCCTTAGCAAAATCCAAGAGTTTGGAGTCCTTAGTGGATCGTTCCTCAGTAGGCCAGAGCCAACGAGCTTGTAAATCATCAACTGGCACATGCTCAGGTTTGATAGGTCTTAATGGGCATTCCCAAATGATGTGTTTCCAATGACCCAACTGACCACAACCCCAGGTGCAAAGGTTGCCCGGAGCTTGTCGATGCAGAGTCGCAGGTGAAACCGCAGCACCTAGCAGAATGGTCCTACTGGCGCCTGTGGCCGTTTTCAACCAGTCCCTCGTGGCCTGGACACGCCCAGGCGGATAATGAATAGGAATGTCCGGAAGCTCTCTGCGGCCGCTGGCACGCAGTAACTTCCACTGTTCAATTCGCCATGCTTCCCTCGACAAATGACAAATTTGTTTAGCATCGATGTCATCCCCAATGGCTGGCATGAGGATACTTTGGTTCGGAAGTTTCGAATGAGTCCAGCGCTTACCCAAACGGGCATGCACACATTCAGTCCAACCTGTGAATTTGAGCCACTCTTTAGCCAAACGAGCAGCGTGGGAATTGTCAGACCGGCAGGCCGTGTCCTCAGGGCGCACCATGCGTCTAAGCCACAACATGAACTGTCGTACACTGTAGTGCCCCCCTCAAGGAGTCTTTCGCAGTGCCGGAGGTGACTGTTTAAAGCCTCCACAGGCTTTGTGGACCGCCTGGTCCAGTGATTTGCTGAGTTCCTTAGTAGGTCTCTTACCTGTCCATCCATAAGCAGCTCTGCTAAGGACGGTCGCCCGACATGTTTCAAGTTTGGCCACCCGAGGGAGTGGTAACAAGGCAATTCTTTGAGCCACCAGCTTTGCTAAGGAAACTCTTTGGGATTCCAGAGGCCTGAGTGACCTTGTCAACTTTCCCACATGGCTACCGAGAACCTCAGCATATGGAAGGATTCTAGGAAGCAGATCGTGATCAAGTAAGCATTCCCGCAGTTTGTTTTCCCGGTGGCTGGTGGCTGCCACCAGCTGGGCCTTTTGTTCGTTCTCTCTGAAACCAAAGTTAGAAGAGAACCTGAACCAACTGTCACAAGTTTGAACAAGGTGCCGGGGGTTTCTAAGGATGAAACTACGGTCATCCATCCAAACGAAGTGCCTGGGAACAACCGGAGACAGGTCCCTTTCAACGCTTTTCACCCCCAAAGTCATAACACAGTTCATGGCCAAAGGTGAAAGGGGATCTCCCTGTGGGATCCCTATCTGTGTTGACCTCTGTCTCAGAGACGCATCTGTTCCATGTCATCCATCTTCGTTGGTGGAGCCATTGGTGACGCAAGACCCCGGTGAGCCGGGGAGGGACTCCCAAGGTTCTCATGGAAGTGGTCGCAACTTCCGCTTGAATGTTGTCAAAGGCTTGGGAGAGGCCCAACGTGGCAAAGAAACCTTCGATGTGCAACAAATCATGAAGCTCCGAAGTGACCATGTCAGCTCCTTTTGTTTCTGGGCCTCCAAGAATTGAGGAGGGCAAGGTTTCCTTGTACCACTGTTTCATGTTGTCGGATTGGGCCCACATCGAGGCAAAAAGCCGATACCAACAAGAGTAAATGTTAATAGGTCTGGTGTTTTTGGGATCCAAGAAATTGTCCTCAGAAACTTTGTTAGCCTTAGGTAAATTGACCTGCTTGCTGTCCTGAATAGCCTGAGGCGTTTGGCCGTAGATTTCCCATCTTTCCGTAATGAAATGGAAAGTCTTAAGGCAGTTTAGGGGTAAAACACGGATTTCCAAACAGGTCCACTGATCCGGTCCTGGAGCACCATGCAGGCGTTTGACCGCCTTGATCAGGTCCGCCATTGTAGGGCGCGTGCCCGCATAATCGTGGTGCAGTGGTTGAAGAAGCTCCTGCGCCATGTTGAGCTGTTGAGGCAGTGAGAGTTGGGCTCGATGTCTCGCCGCATTCCAAGTTGATCGCCAGTGGTTTGTAATGGCCGCAATGGATTTCTCATCGCCGAGGAAGGTTTCACCATTGGATGCCAGAGTAGGTAGGTGTGGACATTCCTGGCCTCTGCGGATCCACTTATATCTTGCCGTCAAATTGTGTCTCATGTCTTGCCGCCATTTCTGGATGGCAACACGCTTTGTTTCCTGATCTTCTTGGCAGATTTGGGTACGGAGTCTCCCAATCTCCTGTTGGACTTGGAGGAAGAGATCCGAGGTGGAGGCATCCGTGGCATCCAAGTGGAGCTTTCTGCGAAGACAGTGGATTTCTCTGTCTCCTGGTCTGTCGGTGAGGAGCTGATGCAACCGAGCCAGTTTGGCCAGACGGTTGCGGCGTTTTCGTTCTTGCATGGATCCCAGGCGTCTGGTGTTTCGGCGGCTCACCCGCACATGCTTGGGAGGTGTATTTCTGGCCTTGACCATTCTGCAGCTTTGGAGCCATTTGAGAAATTCGACAGAGTTGTTGGCAGTTTGATCCAAAGCCAGTGTTTTGGCCGTGTCATCAAACATGTTGTGCACTGCTTTGAGGAAGGTTTCCCATTCGAGGTTGACGTCCGGGTTGGGAGAGTCCAATAAATGATAGAGCTCCCGTTGGGCCTCGCTACCTTGCTTCCAAGTGTAATCAAGCAATTCCGTCCATGTTGTGCTGGAGATGGAGGGAGGCTGTTTCCAAGAGCCTCTGTTCTGGAGAACGCCTCTGTGAGAATCAAGTTGCCATGGGTGACTGATGGTCACCGATTTTGCTATGTGATCGCTGAGGACTTCCGTCAAGTTGGTGACATTGCTGCAGAGTGGAAGCTGATTGCAACAGACCAGGTCTAAGTCCGTTGCCTTTGATTTCCATCTCGAGGGGAGATGAAGTGGTCCATAGAAATAGATGGCCCATAGAAATAGATGGTTTACCTATTAATAGCATGGTGGATCTTTCCATGGCAAACCGTTAGTCATAACCAGATGGTATATATGTATATATATATATGTATATATATATATATATGTATATATATATATATACAATTTTTTGGACTTATTTATAGATATTTTTCCAAGAACATGGGATGGTGTTGAGTTTTTTGTACAACGAGTTGGCGAATCATGGCGACCTTTTCAATGGCCATGGACACCGATGGACACCTGGAGTTTTTTTCGAAGATGGCGCCTTTTCAGTCCTTTTTTTGATGCATCTACCTTCAGACAATTACATATGATTCATTTGATGTTCAACACATGTGTTTTTTTCGCCTAAAAAATCAAGAATTTGTGTTTGCCACTGATATTTCCAGTACTTGTTGACCGCAGAAAACCTTCTTCACCCTGGTCCAAAAACAAGGTAAGCCTAGTCTGAAATCGCCCTGCTGAAAATGTCCATCAGATGTAAATCCCGGCATAATGTTGTTGCTTATCCAACTATATTCCATAATATCCTGGAAAGAATGATGACAACCCATGGCCTTTT